GCGCCGTGTGTGCGACGTGTGTTGCGTGAGCAGCCGTGCTGTGCGTGTGGAGCGCGTATTGTTGCGGCGTGTTCGCGTGAGCGGGGTGTGATTGTGGGGCGAGCGTTTATGTCCGGCGGGTGTGCATGACACGCGGTGTAGTGCGGCGTGGCCGACAAAGTGGCGTGCACGCCGCGTGTATGCGACGTTGAGCGTCAATCACGCGAATCGCGCGCAGCGAAAAACTTAAAATGATGTATCAAATTTGTTTTTGAACGTTAGAATTAACAAGTCTGTTACCTCATATACATTTCTTTTTTTCTTTCCCACTCTTCTTTGCGGGGCGGGCCTTTTGGTTTTACCCCCCCCCCCACTTTTTTTGAATTAAAACGGGGCTGCTGGCCCTCTGCCCCCCCCACTTCCAGCCGCCGCTGGTTCTCACTTCACAAACACATACACACACACGCGCGGCGCACACACACGCGCGCGCACACCACCACACTACACACACACACACACGCATACTTACACACAAAATCATGGTTAATCAAAATCGTGGGGGCGGACATTTGCATATGTGTCCCCCACTCTAAAAGAAAATTCGTGGGGGGGACATGTCCCCCTGTCCCCCCTGGATTTGCGCCCCTGCCGCACACACGCACGCATGCACAAGCGCACGTCCGCGCACACGCACACGCACGCACAAGCGCACGAAAAAACGTTGCGCACACGCACGCACATGCACGCACGAACGCACGCACGCACGCACGCACGCACACATGGAGGCACGCACACACATAGGCACACACAGACAAACACGCATACAAACACAGACGCATACATACACACGCATTCAGATTGGCTGGATCAGGATTAATTGGTTTAATTCCAAATATTGTACACAATCTGTACATTGCACAGCAGCAGCACTTGTAATATGCTCGTGATCCTTACAGGTAGAGGACAGCTGCTCGGCTCCTGGATTTCATGAACGCTTGGGTCAGAATTGTTTCAATACTATATATTGTGCTGCCGCAGTTACATAACGCTGCGAGTTCATTTATGTGAAAGACAGCTTTATGGCTCCAGGTTTTCATGAACGACAGGTTCAGGACGTGGTTTTTCCACGTAAATTATTTAAATGCATCGCTCTTGGTCTAGCTGTTTACATGAAAAATCCGAGGATGGTGCGTAAAACTTCGATCTAAAATGGCGCTAGAGGGCGTCACAAGTACATAACCAATTACATTCATCTCCTTGTATCTAAAGCTCCTTGCGATCGAGCGGTAACTGATCATGAGTAACCGGAGCTCAGCTGTAAGAGGATATAAACTCTTGTGATTCTCGTTCAAAACTAGAACGTCGACGTTCGTGCGAATGTGAAATGCAAAGAGAATTTTGTGATATAAAATTCCATGATGGTTGGAATTAGCGATATTTTTTGTAACGTCGCTGTGTTGATTTGTGTATGTGCTTCGCTCAGTACAGGTTAGTGTTAGTTTGACCGACGACGTCAACTGACAGCTAGAAAAACCCCGCGTATTAAGAACATAGATTTTTCCAAGTTAGCCTCAACGATGTTCTTATATAAACATGGTCTTACTGCAAAATTGAGGGACTCAAAAGGTTCTTAAATTAGGTTCTTTAATTGTTTTCTACTTTTAACTATGTTACTAGCTGCAAACCCGCGCTACGCGCGGGTTAGTGACTGTGCATGCACTGTGTTTACCAGTCCAGTAGTGATTATTGTGTAAGGGCATTATATGGAGAGTTTAGTTGTTGCACATGTTGTTTTTATTATGGTTGAGATGTCAATCACAAATACATGTAGACAATCATGCTTACACGTAACAGCATTAACTATTGATTTTAAACCACAATACAATTTTTATATTTTTCAGTGCTGCATGTGTTCTTTATGTATTAATGCAAATTTTTTGACCGCATTATTGCAGCCTGAGTGTTCTTAAGATCGACCGGTTTTTTTATGCGGCGTTTTTACTGTATAGTGTAAATAATGCCAGTTCTTGTGTCTCAATAACCAATGCCAGGCGTGCTGCCATTGTTTATGTGTTGAGCATTGCATTGGCATTGGCATGTTGATTGCATTCGATATTGTTGAGACTCGTCTTTTTTTTAGTTTTACGCTCGTGTTTCTTTTTAAGTCTTCATCTTGCAGGGAAAATTAATTGAACTACTTCTTAAAATCTTAGCTCAAAACAGGTTTATATGTAAAGGGCGTTAAATGGAAATTGTTAGCCTACCAGTTCTTGAAAATCTATGTTCTTATTACGCGGGCGTTTTTATCTGTAATTACTAGTGGATGACTACTCCTTACTAGCTACTACGTACCTATGTCAGGCCTACTAACTGTGGCCGTGATGTTTAACTTTACGTTTCGTTATGTCCAGGTGTTAAATGTGATAGGTTCAAGGTACATAGGCCCTATTACATAGATACGTAAAATAGCTGTGGCAAAACACTATGTTACATGTACAGTAATCATTCATTACACATCGTTTACACGATTGTAAGTATAAAAAAGTAGGAGTTTCACACACCGTCTAGCCCACAATTTACTGTATATTTATATTTGTATATTTTGAATATAAAAATATACACAACATATGTAATATTGACATGGTCTAAACAGAGCGAATTCCTCCGGACCTGTGATCGGAGGATAAAAATAGAGCTGAGAGGGTCTATGTCCCCTGGAAACTGCCGGAACGTACACTTGGGTACGGTCCGGGTTGGTACCGGAACGTACCCTGGATACGCGTCCGGGTATACCGGAGACGTTACCCTGGTACTATCTAATATGCCGGACCGTACCTCGCCTACTCCACTAACGAGCCTATAGGAGTCGCCCTACGTCTACTCCTAACCCTAACCGAAACTAACCCTAACCCTAATCCTAACCCTAACCATATCAAATAGTGACCAGGGTACGTTCCGGCAGTCCCCTGGAGGACATAGACCCTATGAGCAAAAATAGACCCTGCCCAGCTCCCGCGCATATGCTCTTATGCTGTGACCGGTAGAGAACGTGTACTAACTATCACTATCGAGTATCATATGGAGCGAACGATTTGAGTACCGGTACGGTACATTTCTATAAATTCTAGCTATTATAGACACATGTCTTAGGTTTAATCTCTGTGAATTTGAGGTCTATTGAGCGCGATTAGTCAAATTACTTAGCAATATGCACGCGCGGCTATCGCCCTGTGAAACGAAACGTCACAAATTCTATTTTTATCCTCCAATCACAGGTCAGAGCAATTCTTCTTGTTTAGACGCCATGTTATATTTGCAGTCACTATAGCTTCTAGTACTATGATAGCCCTTCGGCTCCACCGCAGGAGCGGTAAGCGCCTGCAGCGGATCGAAGGGCTAGTACTAGAGCCTACAGTCACTAGTACTATAGCTGATAGGGTCTATGTCCCCCAGGGTACTGCCGAACGTACCCTGGTAACTATCTAGCTGATATGTTAGGTTAGGGTTTAGTGTTAGGGTAGAGTTAGGGTTAGGGAGTAGGCGTAGGCGACTCCCTAGACTCATTAGTGGATAGGCGAGGTACGGTCCGGCATATTAAATAGTAGTATTTAGTCCACGGGCGTACGTGTCCAGCAGTACCCCTGGGGACATAGACCCTATCAGCAGTACTATATACTACGTACCAGTACTAGAATGAACCACAGTTAGCTCACACTTTACCCTTTCAGAACCCAATGATCATTTATGCAATGTATGCATACACGCAGGTGTACCTTAATTAAAGGAATACTTTACTCTAGGATTTGAGGTTATCATAATGATACATATAAGTATATCAATACATCCTGTATTTGAATCCATACATGGACGTTTTTTTTCCTAAACGCTGGCCTTTACCTCTTTGTCTAGATTTTCCCCTCAGATGAAACCCTGGATATTGCTCTTAAATTGAATAAATAAGAAACACCTCGCGGTCTTAGCGCCTGCCAGCTGAAACGTTGCTTGTGCAACCTTTTTAATGGGTGCGTGCCAGTGGCGCCACCGTTGTTGTAAGCATCGGTATAGCCGTCCGCTGTAAAACATTCTTTTGTGTAATATTCTAATAAAATATTAACCATAAAACTTTTGGTTCAAGGATAGAGAACATGGCGTCCCAATAAAACAGATGTCATTTACATCAACATAAATATAATATTATATCAATATAATAGGTTAGGGTTATGGTTAGGTTAGGATTAGGGTTAGGATTAGGCGTTAGGGTTAGAGCGCCGATTGGTTTTTATTGGACCCATGTATCATCTCTCTTTGGGCCAAACTTTTTATGAAGCGTAAATTTTAACCCTAAATCAACTGGATAAATAACCTTTAGAAACCTAGAGTCAAGTATCTCTTTAATTGCCTGTGCGTGTGTGTGTGTGTGCTGTGTGTTGCGTGCGTGTTTGTGCTGTGGTGTGTGTGTGTGTGTGTGGCGGCGCGAGTGTGAAGTGCCATTTGTGTGATGTGTGGCACGTGTGTGTGCATGTGTGCGTGCGCTGCATCTGATTGATCTGTAAGTGGGAAATCTTTTTGAATGTTGAATATTTTAGTGTTCTGTAACTCCTCAAGCCAGTTGATCACCGAGGCTGCCCGAACTCCATGGGATAACCTTTGCTACAGAACCTTATATAGCAATATCCTGCAAAACTGCAGTAGAAATTCTCTGTGCAACGGGAATCTCCTGTATTGGGAACGTTACAGGTAAAATCAGAATTGTGCGACACCTTTTATATGAGAGCGTTCCCAATTTTTCTGTGCCTAAACACATTAAATTCTACTGTCTGCATTATAATCGCATATTCATACCGTGCAAGACAATTTGCACCATTTCACCAGAAGTGTTCGTGTGTGTGTGTGTGTCGTGCGCGTGCGCTGTGTGCGTGTGCGTGTGCGTGTGCGTGTGCGTGTGCGTGTGCGTGTGCGTGTGTCTGTGTGTGTGTGTGCGTGCGTGCGTGCATGCGTGTATGTAGTATTTTAATGTTTAGGGCAAAGGTTTTAGAGCAGGGATGGAGCTGTTTCCTTGTGAGCAGCCAGTTAAGCTCCTCCTCTTTGCTAACTCAGATGCCTTCAACCTCCACAACTTCTCAAGGAATTTTACTGACAAAGAGAGCATTAAAATTCAAGGTTAGTGATTGTAATTAGAATGTGTTTGATTGTGTGTGTTGTAGTTGGTTTTACTACTACTGTAGTGGCCCTAGGGGTAGCCGCTACGTGAATTATACATGTGCGTTTTGCAAGCACTATTATTTTGGGATCACCCTTTGCTCCTGGTGGCAAAGCGGGACGTACTGTGTTGCGTGGCACCAGGAGATAAAACCAAGAAATGAATATTAAAACACTGTAGATGCACGTTTTAAGTATACGGAACTGATTGTTTTATTTACAGCTAATACATGTAATACACAGTCCAGTTATGCGGTGTGTGTACTTCGTTATCCGATCAGTTATAATTAATTCTCTCCCGTAGAATGGGTTACGACTGCTTGACGTAATGCTATTTAGTATGATAGGGCTCTAAGTATATTATATCGATTATTCTCTTTTCTGTCGGTTTGCTTTGATATTTGTGTCATTATGCACCTCTTCCTGTCTTCAGGCTTGTCTATCAACTTTGGACCTCCATTCGGCAAAGTTGAAGGTTTCATAACCACTGACCTACAACGTAACCAGAACGTAGTGGCGTTGACTTTGACTGTACGGGGACATGTAGTGGGTTCTCCACTTCCAATTGGCGAGTGGCCGGATGCTCTCACGACAGAACTGATCAGCAACTATGAGTTTGCGATACCTAACTGCCCAATACCAGTACCAGGTGCAGTCACACTACCCAACAGTGTGCAGGACATTGAGCAGTTTGTCGAAAGTGAAATCAATGCACAGGAAAAGTCATCTGGTACACAGACATTTAATAGTAAGGATTTACGTTTTAAAGTCTAACCAAATAAGGAACTATCAGTAGTATGTTACAGTTGAGGCTGAATGAATATTTTCACAATGTGAAACCGAATACTATTCTACAACTATAAATATATTGTAGCTTATCACTGATAAATTGTATTTTATATACTGGTGGGCATGTAATTTCTTCTGATATTGCATATTTTATAGCAAATAACATTACTGCTATTGACAATTTGCTTAGCTTTTAGAGTAACTTGATAAGTCTAGATCTGTCTGTCTGTCTGAGAAGGAAATCGTGGAAAGATAGGGGAGTCAGAGAGGTGGAATTTGCAGGAAGTGAGGATTTGCAATCATTGTTAAAACCATCATCATTATTGTCATCATGTCGTTCAGATATCATTTAATCACAAGTGTTATTATAGCATGCACTATAAAAAGCATGGATAGTTTTTGCTAATGAGATTGAATCCAACTGGTTCCAACTAACTAATATAGGTTGGTAATACATGTTACAGATTGTACCAGAGGTTTTCTAGGCCAGTGTCGAGTGAAGGAGACTTGTGTTTTGAAGCCGGATAGCAGGGAAGGTCTTTGCCAGTGTGAGCTCGGATATAAACTAGATCGTGTTGGGCAATGCACGCGCAAGGAATCAGGTTTGTCCACCGCTATATAAACCATGTAGATTGTTTTAGAAATAATACAATATGTGTAAATCACACAGGCTTGGTCTTAAAGCAAGGATTTCAAAAATTATTTCCGACAGGTCTCGTGTTTTCCTTACTTTTACGATGCTTACTGCTATTGCTTGAGTAACATCAGCTGTCTAGGGTAACGTTAACATGTCTTAGAACCTTCATACTTAGCTGTATTCACCCAAACATGCACGATTCGAATTTTGATTACTCACTTTGATTTCTGCTGCCATTTCTTCTGCTGAATCTTAGACTTTCTCGCAATAGTGCGAGACATCGACCAGGGATTAGTAATATAAAAATCACACTGTGTTCACTACACAGAGTTGTATGCCCGTTTGTTTGAATTAGGTGCACTTGTTGTGAGAGCGTCATTTGCAAATTACTTGTTGCTATAATCAAATATGCCATGGTGTTACGACATGTTCAGTTCCAATTTTCAATGCTATAGCCGCATAAATTCTTGGTGTTTTTCAAGTTACGGTAATAAGTAATATATCCGCTATTAGGTGAGTCTATACTTTATAATATATTTTCCAGATTGTGCATTTTTAATAATGATTTTGAAAAAACTCCCTTGAACTGTACACACTATAGCCGCGTTCACACGTAGCAAGAAATCCGGTATTTAGCGTTCACACGAGGCAAAATGCGCGGTCCAATAAATACGGTATCTAAACAGATCCGGTATTTGTTGTAAATACGCGGCTTCCCAGACCCCGAATAATTTGCCGTGCTTGAGAAATACCGGATCTCTTGGACTGCGCATTTCCTCGTGTGACTCTAAATACCGTATTTCTCAAGCCGCAGATTTTATAGATTGTTCTGCGCTCGACAGTTCCAGTGTAACGCAAGTGGAACTGTCGAGCACGGACCAGTCTACGTATTTTATTGGCAGTTGGTGCGCATTGCATTGTTTATTTCACATTGTTTGCTTGATTGTTACTAAAGCAGCTCGCAGTTCGCAAATACGGCATTTTTGGAGCCGCGAATCAGCGTGAGAACGCTCGGCCGCGTATTTGTCTCAGATTCGGTATTTCGCAAATATCGTATTTCATAAATACGAGGTCTCGTGTGAACGAGGCTAACATCACCATAGTAGGTTATGATAATCGTGGAGCATATAACTGATGTGTGTAAGACAGGTGTAGACAACTAAAGCTGCTCTGATTTGGTTGCTATTTTCTACATACTTACTGTTCTGTGGAATACAACGATTTAGAATATATTGATTTTTCCAGGTCAGTCTACCATTGGTCCAACAAATGTGGCTCCGACTGTTTCACACAACTCTTCCAGTAGTTCAACATCTGCTCCAAAGAGTTTTGAAGAAAAAAGTAAATATTGCAGAGTGTTTTATCATTTATGTGTATATATGTTAATAATATATACCCGATAAATGGATGCATTGGTTAGACAACATCATTGAACACAACCCCTACTGTCTACATGCCCTATGCATGTTATTTTTAGCTCATCTGACATAGTCAGATGCAGCTTGTAGAATCGCATGATCGTCCGTCCGTCCGTGCGAGCGTTCGTCCGTCCGTCAACAGTTGGGCACAAATCTTAACCGCTCGACGTACGGTCACGATATTCGGGACGTGGGGGGGTAATCCGAAAACGAGTTGGGATGTCGAAGCTGGGGGTCAAAGGTCAAGAGGTGTAAAAGAAGGGGGAACATTCACTTCTTAACTTAAGGTATAGGGAGGAAATGCAGAATTGCGGCACAAATCTAAACGGCTCGACCTAGGCTCGTGATAGTCGGTGTATAGCATCATGGTAGGAAATACCATCACTGTGCCGAAATTGGAGGTCACAGGTCAAAGGTCGATGGGCACAGGGCAGATTTTAGACATTTTCTGAGGACATGGTGTGACGGAGCGATTGAAAAACTTTTTTGTTTCAGCGGTGACCTAGCATTTTTATGGCTTTATTGAAAGGACCATGAAATGTACCTTCTGCTGACATGCGAAGAGTAAGTGTCGGATAACCTTTTGACCCTCAAGAGGAGGGTTAAACATGGATTTGTTTACTGTCTGTTAGAAAGAATTTGACTGCCGGGTTTGCTAGTAGAATCTTTACATGCCTGGATGTATGAGGCTACAATGTCACAGTGAAATTTCAAAAGCTAAATTTGCTTAGCTTAAATCATATAATTTCTATGGCATTCTGTACTGTCAGTATGTTACATGTAACGTATGCCACTGCCAGTGGCCACTGCCAGTGCATGTGGTGGTGGTATTGTGTAGTTTTTGCCTGCGTTAATTGGTTACAGGTGGCAGCTCTCTATTGCAGCCTGTAGGCTTGCGTAGGTAAATGGATGAGTGCTTACCTATTCTGTCTTGCAAATAGTTGTTGCTACTACGTACAATTGGAGCTTCCATCTTTAATCTGAAGACACTTAAACGTACGCGCCATCTCGTGGCAACTTTCATAACGATCCCAACGAACATTCTTTTGAGAAGGTTCCTGATACCATCCCTGTGCATTCCACTGTTTCGGCGTGTATGTGAACACATTTGGGACTAACAGCGTTTACTGGAATCCCACCACTCCACCACAGAGTCACCGCAGTAGACGTTAGATGAGCGCTGTCGCTCCGCGGCACTTAATTGTTATCAATTAGAAGGGAAACAGAAACATAGTTAAATATGTTATTTTCTGCAAAATAAATGTCCTTCTTTTTTAAGTGAAATTGTAAAGCAATTCGAAACTTGCAAACTGACAAGTCTCAGTTTTTCAGTAAATTCTGAACATAATGTGCTTGTAAAATATTTGTAGAGCTAAGCTTACGTGTGACTAGAAATGTGTTCACTGCTGCATGGGCACAAATGCTTTTAAAATTGGGACACGTATTTCCTGACCTGTATTGATTGAGCAGGGACCACTATATATATATATATATATAAGGGTATATATGTATGTTACTAGTGGACTATCCCCCCCCCCATCTGTAGTATATATATATATATTATTTATAATAAGTACATAGATATATATGATATTATCAGGAGTAGATAATAGAGACCTCTATTATCTACTCCTGATATTATGATTCAATGAAACATCTAATTGTATAACAGTCACATGCTATGAACATCTATAAATAGATGTGTAGTAATATAGTGTGGAAAAATGTATAGATATCTGTGTGTAAATAATATAGGCAAACCTGAGTTATGGAAATTACTGTAGAACAAACCTCTGCATATGAAGGATACAACATTTTCCTTGAGGGACCCATATTTGCAGGTTTGACAGTATATTGATTAGTTGATAATATAGGTCCGTGCGAGCAGTTGGGCAGCATGTGACGTTACGGCTCTTCTTCACGCAGAGACGACCATTACGGCTGTGGTCGGTGCTGTTGGTACGTGTGCGCTCCTCGGCGTCATCGCAGCTGTGTTCGTCGTGCTACGTCGCCGCAGGGCACAGGCCAACCAGGCCTACACGATGGTGGCAAACTTCAGCGATGACGATGACGCTCAGTTGATTGGACAGAACGAGGAGTTGGCTTAGAGCCGCACACCAGCAGTTGCGGAGGAGTACATGGACGTTCTGCTGGCCAGGAATGGTGCGGGTTGTAGCTGTTAACGAGTAGTTATGGCCTATCTGCTTAGGGGCATGGGTGCCCTTTATGTTCAAGAATAAAGCTGCATTGCTGCTTCTGGTGCAGTAAGGTGCCTTTATTCTCAGGAGCCCAGGGCTTGTTTGACTAGTTATACGTTACTTGCATCGATATAATCAGAAGTAGATAATAGGGAAGGAGTGTGACTTCAATAAACAAGGGAAATTCGTCATTTACTAGCCTTAGAATACCTACAATTTACTACCCGTAACTCAACCAACTTGAGCTCAAATCGTACACAGTACATTTGCCTAGCATCGTGCAGAATCGTTTCCTCGTATACACCCACAATCCGGAGATACAGACTAAAACGTACGACACGATTCTCCATTCTGTTGCCAGCAAACCGAATGTATAATCTGCCTAACTTGAAACAATAGGCAGCTACTAACGACTTTTGTGCACTCGGCGATGCGATGTGGCTCGCTGGGAGATTGGAGCTGGAGCTGCTGCTGATTGTGGTGGGCGTGCGTGCGTGGGGGGCATACCAGCTGTAAATAGGTGAAAGGTTAGCTCGCCGAGTGTTGCGTCGATGTCCAATCTCCCAGCGAGCCACACCGCATCGCCGAGGGCAAAAGACTGCGCAAGAGTCGTTAGTAGCTGCCTATTGTTTCAAGTTAGGCAGGTTATACATTCGGTTTGCTGGCAACAGAATGGAGAATCGTGTCGTGCGTTTTAGTCTATATCTCCGGATTGTGGGTGTATACGAGGAAACGATTTCGCACGATGCTAGGCGAATGTACTGTGTACGATTTGAGCTCAAGTTGGTTGAGTTACGCGTAGTAAATCGTAGGTAGTCTAAAGCTAGTAAATGACAAATTTCCCTTGTTTATTGAAGTTACACTCCTTCCCTATTATCTACTTCTGATATAATGCATATATCCCGTCAAAAATAGTACACAAACTATATACAAATATAATTTATCGAGATCAGAAATATAATTTGAATATTATATCGTGATGTATACTGTGTGTGTAACAAAACGATAAATGTTTTCTCGGATGTAAGCTTACTGAGTATAATTTTGTTCAACTGTAATGATTTTTTACAGCATTGGGTGGTAATAATCTTAACTAATCACAATTCATTACTTATATGATAAGCTGTTTGACCAGAACAGCCTGTTTTAAATTATGGTACAATTATGACATTAGTATAGTTTGGTATTCGTTGCAATACTTAATAGTCATTAATCAAAGTTCGTTCGCAGCATGAGTGGTCAGACTCTAGAATCCCACAAATGAATCTCTTGACAGCACGTTATTTTGGCAGCTGTATAAATGACGAACAAGTGTGCTATGCATGTGTATATATGAATACAATATTTTCCAAAAGGTTTTAAATAATTCTTCAATACTATAATCTGACGGTGGATGTTATACTAAATGTATAAAGATGGATGTAGTGTCTAATTTCTATAAAAATAACTTGCATAAAAATGTGGTGAACATTATATAATGTAAATACATTTAAATTTTATTAAAGCATATTAAGAAAAACTATAGTATTGTGCAATTAATTTCTGGCAGTGATTTAACCATTCATTTAAAAGTTGTACTTTGTGGGAGTTTTTCATCGGTAAACCCAATTACATATGTATAATTATTAATCAATACGATTCAATGTACGTCGTAAGTAACTGCTGTTGTACTTTTTATTTACCTAATTGAATAAAAGTTGAGTGATATATCAGAGCATTACTAATCACTGATAAACGGAAATTTGTTTTTGGTAAAGTATATTTTGTGTACGTGTGGATTACAATACATATTGGCTGGTTTTACTATAAAATGGGTTATTGGCATTATAATACATCTATAAACTAATGAAAAATGCACTAAAGGCAGCTACCCCATGTATGTATATACATTCAAATTTAGTATATTTAGTTCAATGAAACTGCAAGAAATTAACAAAGATACAAGAAAATGTGTCAATTTATTTCTTACACTAACTTCCACTGTACATAGAGACATTAAATGGGAATGCAACATGATGAATTTTTGCAGACTATAACTAAATTCTAACGTCTAATATCATATTACAGAAGACAATACAGTCGCATACATAAATATGTGAATGCTGGAGCATTTATGTGTACAACAAAGCAAACAATGTTTTCAACATTCCTATTTCTTATCAGTGCTTGCAACAGGAATGCTATCACGACCCTTGAGGTTAGGAATGTGTCCATTCTCTCTTGGCAAAAATTAATATTTGTAAATTCAACAACCTTAGAAAATGATTGGATTTTCTACAAATTTAGCTGCTGACAAAATAGGACACTAAAGCATGCTGAAAACACTAAGTTACTAGTTTACACTAATTTGTGTAGCATTACATCTATTCATTTATACCATACCCATTGCTGGACGTTAACACGGTAATAAAATATGTACTGATATAATGCAAAACGTCTACACACGAAAAGATTTTACACACTAAAAATGCTCATGTATGATGATGATATGAATGTGTAGCTGACATTCACATTATATATATCAGGTTATTACTGGACACATGTCAACAACCAACAGTGATCCAAACACACGATATCCTGTGTATCGTAGGGAATGATCTTAATATTGCTCAACATTCCTCGTATAAAATGTGCAGTATTATAGACAACTACACATGTACTTTTTACATTTGTAAACAGAATGATGTTTCATGAATAGATGAAATTCGATATTTCTATCACATTCGAGAGTCAATGCCACAAATGCATTAGGTGTGTTGCTCACAGTTTAAACAGGGCCACGGTGTTTCCGTGAGCATGTGGCATCACCATGCAGTGCATATCTCTACAGTCGTGCGCGGTATGAAAAATGTCTCTTAAGACTGCAAAATCTCTACAACTTGGCAAAATATGACCACCAGGCACGACCTTCTTCTAAAACGTCGAACTTACGGCATGACCATACCGTGCGAGTTGAGTTCTACGAGTCGTTAGCAGACCTCTCTGCTCAGGGCTTCCACAGACGTAGCAGCCCATCCTCGGCATAGGTGCCTATGAGGTTCTGATGTGGATGATGCGCGATGCCGATCACCTCCTTCTCGTGTACGCTCAGTGTTCTCTCCAGCTTACCTGCCGATTCAAGCAAACAGTCGTCAGCACACTCAAGTGTCCACTGACGCACTGGTGGGGGGGGGGGAGGGTTTATTCTAAACGAAACAGCTATCGATATGAAATTTATAAATTATGGTAAAATCGGTATGAGCTAGGACTTTCACCCACAGTTGGCCAGTGGTGAAAAAATTATTGCTTAGAATATGGGAGAGCAGACCTGTCTTCTTCAAAGATGTAACAATAGAGAGAATTAATTGTTATAGATATTAGCAGCAGGTATGATAAAGTCCTTTCCTATTATAGTCAGAGTACTATATAAGACAGTATAGACTATCCTTGAAAACTGACATTATTTTAACACCGGATCACTGCTCTTATTGGAATCTAGTAAACATAAATAATAACAACAAACAGCTGTAGTAGTAACTATAAAATAGGGCTATATATATACTAAACACTGCCAAAGACAGAGTTACGAGAAAAACGGCATCAAAAACGTTTACATTTGAACAGTTGTGTTAAATCAAGGAAGCACAACTACATAGAGTGAAGAGTCCCCCCCACAATCCTCCCACAGGCAGTAGTATGTGAAAAAATGGCTTGCCTGTCGAGGTGCTAAAGCAGTATAAGACCATGTCCTCGCCAACACAGTAGATCCACTCGCCTCGCGTTGACACGCAGCAACACACAAAATCACCGCCCTCTCGCTTTCCACTAGAGAAGCTTCTTACGATCTGCAATGACACATTGTTACAAACATACCATGATTACTTACTTGTCCCTTTACTACAGTAGGCAGACAGGACACCAAAGTTGATCTCAATACAAAAAATATGATCACTACTTATTCCTTATATTTCACAAATTGCAAATTATATGAAACTCCAATTGCATACACTGAGAATTAGGAGAATTCTAGATTGTCAGAAGAGTTAATCAGTACAATCAGTGCAAATATTCTGTGGTATACAACATACCTGTCCTTGCATGTTCATGATAACAACCGTATTGGATCGATTACACACTACGAAGTGCTCAGCATTCTTTGGCAATGTATGTACACTGTTAACTGTGATGTCTGCACCACTGGTTCCTCCTGTTAAGTTAATATATCAAAATAATTAGGAAGATATATACACATATCATATGTAAGCAAAATTTTTGCCATAGGTTATCGTGTACCATAGACCACTATGCAGAAAGAAATTCCTCCTGAACCCCACCCCCTTTGTATACTACCTCGATGCTGCTCCACAAGGCAAATTTATGTCAAGGACTTAACTTATTCCTGAATTTAAATCACTAAACGGTCTGGCAAAACTAGCATTCCTCTAGAAGTCTACACATACACACATGCAGATGCACACACTCATGCATGCACCCACAGGCACACAGACATGATATCTCACGTGACACTACCACTTTATAGTACAATATCTTCTCAGTCCAATAAACATGTATAGTGCATGTAGTGTGAGCAATACTAAACTAGCAAGCTCTTCTAGATGGCAGTTACTATGTAGATGTAAAATTAACCAAGAATCACATACAGACATAAATGTTTGCTCTTGTTGCTCTAGATACTAGACTGATACTATAGTCCAACTACAACTACAGCTGGCCACCAATGCAATACTCTATCCAGAGGAAAAATTTCTTTTTTTTCACGGGAGGTCTTTTTCAAAAGTCGGTGGAAAAAATAGCTGTCGTCAAAATTTTTACGGGAGCTATTTTGAGCCTCACGGGAGCGATTTCGGAGGTTTGAAGAGCGAATCGCTCATCGCTCCCGTGTCATTTTTACCCTGACTCTATCGTGTATCATATTGTCCCCTACGACATCCCTGCACTCTTAGTTACAACATAGATACGCCAAAATGTCCAAAGCTCACCTAATGACTTAAACGTGTTGCTGCACTCGGTGCTCTTGATGCTCCACACCTTCACGCTTCCGTCAGAGCTTGCGCTCAGGATGCTGTGCCCGTCCGCCGTGAACACCGCCTCATTGACGAACGACGTGTGACCGCGAAACTCCTTCAGGGCCTTACCCGACTTCAGTCCATGCATTCTGCGGAGTGATGACATGCAGCAGCTCAGCGGAATCGTGTCACACGAGCTTTTAACAAGCCTTCGTTTATATTGCAATGAGTTTAATTTACATCTTTGCGCTTTAATTTCAACCATTGTAGAGACACTGTGATGCTGGCTAATTCCAAACAACTGAAGGATTTTATGTAAATGTGTTAATTGAGGTTAGAAATTTGCAATTTTTAGTTTGAGCTTTCATCATATACACAAATAAATGAATGAAATAGAGAACTGGTGTATTAGAGCATTTCACTGCCATGGATGTGTGTGGGTTAGGATTTCCATACCGTATAGTTTGGTCAAATGAGGCACTTAATAGCTGACTGTTGTCCTTAGAGAACATGACACAGGTAACACCTTTACTGTGAGCCCTTTCAAATCTGCGCAAACACTGTCCGGTCTGGATCTTCCACACCTAGAACATTGTTTATCATTACCACTACTGAACACAAACATTACATAAGACCATATCAATAAGCTTTGGAAAAACTGTATGCTGTAAAAGAGCTATATCAAACTTGGCCAGCTAATGTTCACCTTATAATGTAGGGTTTGCAATTTTTCTGGTTTCTATTATGTCACGTGTTCCCATTGAATATATTAAATAATTATGTACATAAAATGTTAAACATATAAAAGATATATATGTACAGTATATATAATAAAACAGTCAGCATGCTGTAGTATTGTTATAAAATGTGGCACTGTTGGGCTTTTACCTTGATTTTGCCATCCTGTCCTCCAGTGGCAATCATGTCGGAGTCTCTGCTAAAGCAGAGACAAAGGACAGCATCATCCATCATCATGAAGTTGTCCTAATTGCATAAAGAGATGTGTTTATTTTAGCTTGATGACTGATAATATTATTATTAACATCTTAATTTTGAGTAACAAACTTACTAGCAGGGATTTTTCCAAAAATTTCAAAAGGAATGTTCTTTATTGATGGATAGGGAGAGCCTGGGTGGGGGTTGTACCAATAGGAGTTGATCACAGGTATCATAAGCGACCTCAATACACAGGTAAACTCAATCAGTTCAGAGACGTATACATCATGCTGTAAAAACACCATTACTGTGTTGAGATTATCAAAACTACACACAGCGGGAAATAAAGGCCATGCCGATAAAGTAATTAATGCATGTGGGATGATGCAAATTAGCACCAGCTTTGAAGGAATGTCAGACCCAAAATGCGTTAGGGGCTTGGGGAAAACCCTGACTGATATGACGCTTTGCATTTAACTACCATTTTTCTATCAATGACGACGACTACAGAATTATCAAACTGCCATACCAAATATAATTACAGTGAATACCTGAGCTTGGTACTTTAAATCCTTTCTTATCTTTCCTGTGGTGAAATTCCAAACCTCAATGAAGCCATCCACACTTCCCGTAACCAGGTACTGACCATCTGGTGAGAACCTTGCACACTCCACATGCGACTTCTGACCAAACTGAAACACGATACATTTAACATAAATATAAGTAGATATACATAGTCAGCTATTTGGCAATGTTTCTGAGAAATGAAGAGGATTAAAGCGAGCATTTCTTGTGTTTTTTCCAATCGATTTCATATTTTCCCTGATTGTTCTGATATTTACTGGTATTGCTAACATTATAGAACAATTGCACATCATTCTTTTTAATAATATGTGCACTAATCTGCATTTAAAATTAGATTTGTTTACATATGTCAACAAAACGAGCACAAGATTTTTGCTCTCGCCCTGTCTCTACAATCTACACTATGTTTACTTTGTGTACATATCAAGATAGGTACCAGTCTTTTAAAATTTTCATCACGTAACTTCGTGCATTTGTTTTGTGGAAACATTTGAAAATGCCATTTTCGTGAATCTCAAGAAATGAGGTGCAAGTTTGGTTTTCATTACTGTTTTATTGCCTATAACAGCACACACTCATAATTTTTATGCTAGTAATTAGTAATGTGTATGCTGACAGGTGAGACTAGATTTGTCTACATAATCATTTAAGAAATGATTTATTAATCAATGTAAACTCTAGTAACTTGGTCTTTTGACCAGCGTTTACCAGTATCAACCTTTATTTTCAATCTGCAAGCATCCCCACTCATAACACCATCTCAAACGAGTCAAAATCAGGGGGTGTGAAATAAACAGAACCAGCAGAATATAGCTATTAATATTATACCTTAATTTGCTTTGACATCTCAGTAGGAAATGTTTCATCTTCTTGCTCACGAATGGCTGCCTTGCCCCGAAACAAATCGATAGATGAACCTGTTGCACAAATAGCCACGTTTTTAGAAGTATATTAAAAAATATTAATTACTTTCCAAACAATTGCTAACTGAAGCATGCATACTCAGTGCTGCCACTCAAGATATTACAAAAAAAGTATAAAATCTGTCCAGAAAAGTATCAAAATTGTCAAAAAAAGTATTAAAAAAGTACAAATTTGTATCAACCTACCATGATTTGTAGTCGCTTGTTACCTTATACATTGTTACCGAATACATTATAGCCTATGTGCAGCATGTAAAGAAGCTTCAGGAATGATGTGTGCAATGTCATGAGGAGTTCTCTTGAACCCTCAGTCTGAAATATTTCAATGCAGTGTTTCTCCTGGCCAAAAAGGTCTGTGAGGTGGTAAGTGTTTTTGCGTGATGTGTTTGCACGTTTCGAGGTCCTAGGAAAGCAAGCAGCGCAGGTGCTCGCCCAGCTAGGGCGGTCCAGGGGCATGCTCCCCTGGAATTTTGTGAAAAAATAATGCAATTTGGTGCATTCTAAGCTTTTCTGAATACATTGTTATCAGGAGTTAATAATGACAAAGGAGTAAGACACCTCTTTGGTACTGATTTCACTACATTTTTGTCGTACGAGTTCGATATGAATAAAAATACAAATGTATACAAACATGAGCTTCTTTTGTTCACTGGTCCTTATTCTATCTTCCGGTAGTATTACAAACCGCGTAGCTTCCTTAGTTTTGACATAAATCGTACTTTTGCACGACATGGTTTTCACGTAATTTACCGCCCTGCGGCGATGCCAAGCTGTAAATTCGTACACACAGCTACTTGAAGGAAGCGCGCCAGGGCTTTTCGGCCGTAGCCTAGTCGAGTGCAGAAATTGCGCCTAGAAATTAAGTTACGTTGCACCCATGTTGGGTTTAAAAATTCAAAATATTTTACATTTAAACTATAGTTAGAATGCCTCGTTTTTGCGCATTGAATCTCGCAGTTTTTTTAAATAAACGCTGCGCTGGTAAAATATCTGAACTACTTCACCCGCGGAGGAATGATGTGTATGAATCGTTATGAGTAAACTGACGCTCCAGCCAATTGTAGCTTTTCGCACGTGTTTTGCATAGCAACCGTTAGCTGTAGCCCGCGTACAGTTGCCGCTGGCGCTGCCTGAGGCGATCCCTGCCGTGCCTCCTTCAAGTAGCTGTGTCAGCCGGTGTGTGCGAATTTACAGCTTGGCATCGCCGCAGAGCGGTAAATTATGTGAAAACCATGTCGTGCAAAAGTATGATTTATGTCAAAACTAAGGACGCTACGCGGTTTGTAATACTACCGGAAGATAGAATAAGGACCAGTGAACAAAAGAAGCTCATGTTTGTATACATTTGTATTTTTATTCACATCGAACTCTTACGACAAAAATGTAGTGAAATCAGTACCAAAGAGGTGTCTTACTCCTTTGTCATTATTAATTCCTGATTGTATGAGACTCTTGAATCTCTTTTTCAAGTTGTCAAAAGTTTTGTCAGCGAGGCGGTGTTTTGGACAAATTTCGGTGTGGCGGCTGAGAACTTGAGCGAGGCGGCCCACCTCACTTGTGTCAATGCAGGAGAAACACTGCAATGTTCATTGCTCATTTGACATTTGGTTACTGACAGCAGAGAGCTGAGTGCAAAAACACTCCACTGAACAGAGCACACATCACTCCTGCAACGAGACTAGCAAAGCACATCTTTAATCTCATCAAATACAGTGTACCTAAAAGTCCGAAGAGTTTTGACCATTTTTTGCAAAAAAAAGTATTCAAAAGTATTTATGCATGAAAAAAGTATGGAAAAAGTATAAAGTCCATTTTCTTAAAAAAAGTACAACTAAAAAAAAAAATAAAGTGCAAGTTATTTATCAACAGTTGTCCGCCATAATATAGAGGCTATTTCACTGTATAACTGCCACTAAATAGATATTCCAAGTGTCCTTTATAGACAATTAAACGTTTTAAAGGTGTGATTTCCAACTAAGGTTTGATTATAAATAGGCTGCATTACTCAGCACAAATTTGAACATAACTTCTCCAATAACTAGGACAATGCTGATATTAAAGTAAGGATTTTTAACAATTTTTTCTCACCGTTCTCATATTTTCCCATCCATTACAATGCTTACTGTTATTAATTGTGATTTAAATTACAGTAACGGTAACAGGTATCAGAACACTTGTATATTGTTACTTTTAGCAACATATGCAATGTTTTTTTTTTTAATTCTTGTTTTTGGATACATGTTAACATCACTTGTTTCTCCTGAGACCTTGTCTGTACAGTTTGTTGCATGGTTATTGTATGGTTACTTGCATTAAGTAATATATATGCCATACTAGTCTAGTATCACTTAGGTCATAGCATCAGGTGCACTTGTGTCTGCAGTGTCATTTACAAGGGAATTATCACGATACCAAAGAATATCATATGCTTGCGCTGTTTGCCAGTTATATACTTTAACTGCATGCAACACCCTGCATGCTCCCCCACAAACATGCATAAATGCATTCAAGCATAAATTCAAAGTAATTTTAAAGCTGGTATAATAAGTAACCTATCTGCTTGTAGGTGCAATTATATTACACAGGTTGTCAGATTTTGGATGTATTGAGAGATTAGATTTTAATACGAATGGACAAATACCAACCTGGAGGCAATAGACCTTGATGCTGTTGCCATTTAAGAGCTTGGGCTAACAGTGCCAGGAGACGTGATGGTGGGACGACGCTCACCTCACCTGCCAGAGCTTGTGCTATAGCTACTCGTCTACGCTCTTTAGACATTCCCTCTGGGTATGCCTAGTAACAGTATACAGGATACAGGTGGGCAATTTGTACAGCTTTTCAATTATTAATATGAAATAGGTATGTTTTACAAATATATATATGCATGTTTACGTAAAATAATAATAAGACAATATACAGTGAACACATCTTAAACTGCAGGCTATTGTATTGTTTCCTAACCTCTCTAGGATCAAAGTAAGAGCGGGCCAGAAGGTTCTCCAAGCGTAGATATCTCTCTGCTTCATTCTGTTTCATCATGATCATAGGATCGGTTTGCCTCAGTAATGTTCTGGCTGCACCCAATTCTCGTAACTCAATAAGTTCCAACACCACCTGCAAATAATCTGTATTATTACCAACAACAGATATCCATGACACAGAAGATGAAACTACTTATACTATACAAACATATGTAGTATATATGGAGATGATAGTTTTCACATGTTACAATAGTAATGTCATTTGAACAGCAAAAAATGGAACTTGTGTACAGCCTTGCAATAAATGAATGATGCAATAAGTTCAACCTGCTCATAGAGATCGATGAGCTTCTTGTCAGGTAACTTGAGGGACTGAATTGCTTGCAGTACTGTGTCCCAATGTCCATTATTGATTTCAGTCACAAAGCTATCAATGCTGTCGACTGTGTTAAGAGAGATTACTGTCTCCTCCTGTAGAACACTCAGGGTCCGATAAAGACTGTTCTCTTTTAGGTATTGCTGAATAAGTCGGACGACACTGAAACACAAGTAGGCCTAGTGAGTTAGTAAAAACAAGATTTTACCTTCCAAATTAATAACACCGCAACAATTATAACACCGCAACAATGCAATGAAAATCTGGTTGTTCTATGGCTAGAATTACAACACTTTTACGCCACCAGGTATTGTAGTCCATAGTACTGGTATTACTACACAAGGCTGCGCATTTCCTGCCGAGATGAGCTGCTGTGTGCCTCCAAGCTCAATTTCGAGGCCCGCCAACCCAAACTAGCATAATGTGCGCAAAAATGACATCACACATATGACAACGTTCATTGGCGAAAACAATCAAGTAGCGTGGTTAGGTTATATATGATGATATCAGGAGTGAACTAGAAATGGCAGTTGTCGCCAACCACATGTATCCCCTGCGATCTAGTATGAATGAAATATCTCCTGGTTTTGGTATGCGACACACCTTCTCCCCAAGATGTGTAAGTATACCAAGTTTGGTCGCGCTAGGTCAATTAGGGGCCGAATTATAGAGCGGAAGGGAAATATGATCAAGGTCAAGGTAAAATGAAGGTCGCAGTGACCTGGTTTTGGTACGCGACACACCGTCTCCCCAAGATGTGTAAGTATACCAAGTTTGGTAGCGCTAGGTCAATTAAGGGTCGAGTTATAGAGCGGAAGGGAAAGTGTCTGCGGCGGCAAGCGGCGGCTGGACAGACATGAAACCATAGTATACAATAATAATAGAGGAGTATGACTCGCTCGAAACACAAGAAATTCAACATTCCCATGCCCAAATTTACCTAATATTTATTACGCAAAACCCAACAAACCTGACGTCAGAAGTAGCGTTGTACATCCATATTGCCCTCAGACTTTACTGTGTATCGATATCTGTTCTATCTAATTATGCAGTTATAGTTTTGAACGTCAGACATGGTTTTAATTATTGACATGGTAAAGTGGCTAGAACATTCCCACGCGATAGCGCAAACAAGAGGCAGCTTGCTCTGTGACACCCGTTGGCAGGGTTCCGCAGGGATTTGCAACTCGCAAATTAGTAGCGGGCTCTGACCGCTGGGAGTGCAGATAAGCAGATGTCATATGACATACAGTTATGAAATTATCTGTAATGAGAAGCTTTCGTTTTGGCGAAATTTTGGCAGATTTTACAATGTGATCTCGCGAGAATTTGCGAGTTGCAAATCTCTGCCGAACCCCGCCAACAGCGTTATCACCGTGAGCTGCCTCTTGTTCATGCTATCGCGTGGGAATGTTAGCCACTTTACCACGTCAATGACTAAAACCATTTCTGACATTCGAACTCGAAGCTATAACTACATGTAATTAGAAATGATATTGATACAAACAAGAGCTAATAATACCTAGAGTGTACAACGGAAAAACGGGAAAATAGTGCTATTTCACGACAACATTATTCTACTTTGCCTGCGAGTCTATAAACATTTAATAGCTCAAATCGAATCAATAAACCATCTGGCTGCTCCGCGGTAACTGGGCGGCTACTGGCGCTTACTTATTTATTGAGTTAGCGTTTTTCTGAGATGAATTGGATAAAACAACCAGATAGCCAGCCATGTCTGCCATGTTCAGTGCAACTAATAAATCTGGCAATGACCTGATTTTCACAGTGCGTAGGCCAAATACAACAGTAAGTCATTATCTTCCGCAATGTAATTTATTAAGTATGTATGTAGATTGACGATTCCTGGTTTTCAAATGTTTTAATATTATATTATACGAGTATATGATGCTTTTTTATGTGCTCGTTGCGCAACGCAAGTAGCAACAGCTATGGTATGTTATGTCGTTTCGGGTTTTCCGCGTGCCGTTCGGAAAATCATGGCGCATTGCAACATGGCGGTTGGCGTTAGTTGAAATTTCGTGTTTGGCCTTTTGACATTTCGACTGTGCCAGGGCAAACTGAGGTATTAGTTTTAATAACAACGCTGGAAACTATAAGGTGAAGGTTATATTTGATAGCAAAACAAGGCAGAAATGCTTAGATGATCATTTTATTTGAGATATACGTATG